AATCAACATATACAATTTACAGTTGACGAAGAGGTAGATAATTCTCTACAAAAAGTAACAACAAATAGCCCCTTTTATTGACTCCAACCCATCCAAAACAGTTTTATATTTTTTCCAAACGAGAGTCACAAGGACTTTTTTCTTATATATATATATATATATATATATATATATATATATATATATATATATATATATATATATATATATAATATACATGGATGCTACTACATATGAACATTTAAACTACCATTTCAACTTTAATATTTGGATCACGGTTACCAAGAGAATGGTGTGTTTGTTTTACACCTTATCATTCTTCACTCACCACTGAACTGATAAAGCTTGTAAATGCAATTAGCGAAACGTCTTCAAATATAGGAATGGAACTGTGATTTCCTTTTATTATTTCTCCTTTGACTGATATCCTCGTGACCAAAAAATTAGTTCTTTTGGAACTTACTCATTGAATAATTGTTTGACGGTCGTGCTTATAAATTAATATATTTACATAAATTAGAACCGCTAGTTTTATTTTTTTTCCATAGCTAATGTTAAAGTGTTTCTATAACTATTGTTTTGAGTAGATAAAGTATCACTTTAACCGCAAGGGTAATAAAGTGACACTTTAACAGCAAGAGTAGTTAAAATGTTTTAACTTTTTTTTATTCAATAAAATTTACACATTCAAACACATTAAGGATTAAAAGCAACTGAAATTTTACAATTAACATTATTAGAAATATCTATTTTTGGAGCATCACAACTTGTACTCTTTTGCTTAAACACTTGATTCGAGATACTGCATTGATTTTTTGTAACATTTGTTTTATATTTGTTGACAGAGTAATTCATATCCCTAGCAACGGAGCAACACAATTGCGATTTTTGTGCTAAAAATTACAATTTTCTTTGAAATTCTATTTTTCACCTGAACTTGAAGTCTTGCTAAAGAAAAAATGTTGTATTGCACACGACGATAAAATTGCATTACCTTCTCGAGCATAATTAGCGTCTCGACTGACGTCTCGACGCTAAAAAACGCTCTCGAAGATAAAGTACAATTTTATCGTCTTGTACAATAAATAACTAAAATTCGTTACAATATCTATATGTTAACTATTTTCCCTTTTTTATTTAATAATTTTATTATAATATGAAATCCTACCTCTTCTACCCAAAGTAGAGGCATTAAGGCTTTGCTTACGTTTACCAGGCTTTCCATGCCGTCTACAGGCCTTAGAAATATATTGAATTGGATCCTTTGGGCAGCGTATAACGGTAGACCACTTAGCTAACAAAAAAAAAAAAAAATTAAAAATCATGCATTATTTTTATCATAAATGTTCGACATAAATCGCCAAAAGCATAAAATAAACGTTTTATAAAATTTAAACGTATGATCAATACAGATCAGATATATGTTATACAATAAATTGTAAAGTCTGTAAAGGTTCCCCCAAACCAATGTTATTCGTACCTGTTGCGAAAAATCGCACTACATGCGATTCCCATCAAATTATTTCAACTATGCTAAATTGACAAGTTCAATTTTATTGTTGTAAGATCGATTTGTCTGCGTAAAAAACATTCGTCCGAAATTTTAGTTCGCCATCGACTGCGTTTTGTCCGGATTCGTAGTGCGGTAATAATTTATTATGGATAATTTGATTAAATCAGTTCGACAATATCCCATTTTATGATCTTTTCCATGAAGATTACAAGAATGTTTGAAAAAAGGATAAGGTTTGGAGTAAAATAGGAGAAGAAATAGGCGAAAATGGTATGTATATTGAATTTTATTACATTTAGTAAAATATAAAAATTTTAATTCATAATCCTGAATTAAAAAAAGTTGTAAATCTGTCTCGGACCGAGAATGCTAGTCTCGTAGCTCTCCTTGGGTCATTATCAAAATTTAGAAACGCTCTAACTTCAGGTTCTGATGGCTCTAAAAGTTCGATAAATCCATCATCACATTTTTTTGTTCTTAGGAAATTATGTAAGATACATGCAGTTTTTACAATTTTAATAGTAGTGACAACTTTTGTTTCGATTGGTCTGTAGAATATACGACATTTTTGTGCTAACATACCGAGAACATTTTCTACAACTCTTCTCGCTCTACAGAGCCGTACATTATAATTTTCCTTAAAAATATCTGTTTTACTTTGGCTGTATAGAAAGGGCCTTAACAAATATGATTTTAAAGCAAATGCTTCGTCTCCGATTATGACATGAGGAGAAGGTTCATCTTGTCCAGGAAGATTTTTTGGCTCAGGAATGTTCATTGAATTTGTTTTAAATCTTTTTCCCATATTGTAAACTTCGAAAATTCCACCTTCACAATTTTTACTAAAACCACCAATATCTCATAATAAATTTATAATTGGCACAAACAATAGCCAATAATACTATTGAAAACTTTTTTCACCAGTAACACCAGTAATTAGCTCCAGTTTTGTCTGGACATTTTATAGTAATATGCTTGCCATCTGTTTAAAATATGGTTGTATAAATTAATCAAGACATTTGTCCTCCCCCTGTATTCCTACGATCCATATTGGTACCGCTCGGGTATGCATCCCGATAAGACACAAGAGCGTAAGTCGTTGAGAAGTAAAGACGCAACCCTCCGCTAGTGCATCGATGCATTCAGATTGAAGTCGTTTTGTTCTTTGTTTTTTATGGTAGTGAATCTTGGTAATTAGCGGTATAGTAAGTTCACCTAGTTTTACCTAACCTTTGTATTGTTTTTGATTGTTTATTGCAACCATTGAAATTTTGATATTATTGTTATTTGCACCTATGAGTGAAAGTTCAGTTATCTTGCCAGAGCTATCGAAGGAATAGTTCCTATTAATTCGTAATAGTACATTATTTGTTAACCCCCCACACCATCGATGCTACCAATACAATTTGGAAATTGCCAAATATTTCTAAAGCCTTCTTCAGATTTTTTCCATATTTCTGTAGTTGGTTCGGGTAAATATGTTAATTGCAAATTTCTACATATTGCTTCACAAACTTCTACAACTATGGCACTTACCGTCGATAAACCAACTCTAAAACTATGGCCAATTGTATAGAATGAATCTCCGGTGGCCAGATATCTAAAAATAATTTTTTTAGGGGATGAGATAAAGAAAAAATGGAGAACTTTGCGAGATATGTATGCCAAGTATATCAGAACCAGTAAAACTAAAACTGGACAGGCGGCAAATTCTACGAAAAAATAGATATGGGCAGATCAGATGGAAGTATTTAAACCATTCTTAAGTTTTGCAAAAACTACATCTAACGTTAGCGATGTCCGAGTACCAGAATATACAGAATTGACAAATGCATAGTCTTTTGAGAATGAAATTGTGAGAGCACAATCATCTAGTTCACAAGACACTCAATCAAACAATTCAGGAACATCGAACACCGATATCATTCAGGTTCAACCATGGACGTATAAACATAGATGGACACAGCAATAAGATACCTTTAACACACAATGTTTTGAAGCTTCGATAGAATGTGATGCTTCCGCGATGAGCATAAGCGTGCTTGAATTTTTGCCTCGCGGGTAATTATTCAGATTTTAAAAATTATAAGTAGTAATAATGTATAAAAACACGTTCAAAGAATTAAAAAAAAACGAGAGTTTAACTATTAACAAATCACGTCTTTATAGAAAAATTAAAATACAATTTTATTTGCTTTAAAATTAATACAATTAAATATAGTTGAATTCAAGTTAATTTATTAATAGTATCAAAATAATGCAACAATAAAAAATCTTTATGTTTTCTCCTTAATTTGCTACCCAAATAGTTTGATCGTCAATATTATTTGGAAACCTACATAGAAAAATAAATGGGTTTTATTCATTTCACTAATTTATTTGTATCCATGAGAAATATTAAATTAAAAAGGTACTAAACAGATCTTTTTTAATCAGATGATGTCTACTTACAATTTATAAATGTCTACAATTTTAATGAACTCATATCTTATTCAATACATTAATGAACATGAATAAACCCAATGGTACGCCTATTAAAATGTAAACAAACACGCTTCCTCATTTCCTCATCTTAAATAATGTAAATTGTATGTACTTACAAATGAAATGAGAGATCGGGATGTAAATATTTCGTTTATTTTATTTCACTTTTCACAAATATCACTCAAAATACAGCCAAAATATCGAAAAATAACTTTTTCCTCATTTACTCTAAAAAGTAAACAAACATGGAACAGCATTTGAAGTTTGACGTAGATCCATAAGACAGAGAAATGTAAACAACCGTTGCCATTTATAAATAGTTTTCAGTGCTTCTACATATAAAATAATTGATTGATATCTATTATACGCTATTATTAAATGATAATACACACTATGTGCACACTTGATATTTTGATTACAATTAAATATATTAATATAACCAATAAATTATTATTTTGGTTTGATAGCACCTGTAGAGTATAAAATACGGAGTAATATTTTCAGCGACTCGCGAATAAGAAATTTTAAAACGAAACGTGACAACAGTTGAAGGTGCTCAGAATGTGACCTATTCAAATAATTTTGACTTCACAATTTTATGTAAATAACTGAGTTCATCTATGTTTATACGTCCATGGGTTTAACCCTCAGCAGTTACACCTAGGTCAATTGGGGGTCCTAAAGTTCTGAGCGTAAAACTCCCATTGCCACCAAAGAAAATAGAAAACGCCATTCTCAACCATCCACATCTGTGAAAGAAATGATAACTTATTTTGAAGGCAAAAAAAGTCAGTTTTGATGCAATCGATCAACTTTTTTTGGCTCACGCTTGTACGTTAAAAACTTTTTCTCCTAGAAGACAAATAGAAACAAAAATGAAAATTGCGCAAGTCATCATGGAACACGAGCTTCTTTAATTAGAAGAATATTCTACAAATCAATCTAGATCTGCAAGTGCAGATACTTATCCAAACGTCTCTTCCGTTGAAACAGATTTTAATTTTCTTGTGCAAACATTGCGAGTGCTTCTTCTTCATCTGATGAGGAATACATTTTTTTTAACAATTGAAATTGATCATCGTTATTTGTTTTTTCACTCAACGTTTCCGATACTGGACGTGACTGATATGACGCGAATATATTCGTTTTTGGTATGGGGTCATTCACGATGCCGCTATGAATTCCGGTGCGATTTTTCCGTCATGAATCCGCTATGAATTAATTCGCGTTGGTTTGGGGGAACCTTTACTCATCATGTATTTGACGGATGCATCAGTATTTATCTAGAGAAATCATTCCACATACAATCAATATATCTACCAATAGTGGTTGCAAAACCTTGATGTGGGTTCGGGGGATTAGGATGACTGTTCAAATAGGGCTGTAGTCTGGCGCAGGAAATGGAACAAGTTTTGTTGATGATTATGAGGTTATGAGAATGCATCGGGTCTCCCTAGTAAGTAGTTTTTCATTGAATAAAGGTACCTCCTATAAATAGGCTGTACATAGTACATAGTAGGCTGTACATATAAATGGGTGTCAAACTATCGCGTTAGAGCAGTTCCTGTCACCACTTAACTCTCTGGAATATTTAGAAATCTAGTCTAGCTTGTCGAGAAACTATGAGAGGATGAGCTGCTTTAGCTACTAAAAAGCAGCCTACTCAAGTTAACCCACCTCTATCTGGTTATACCACTGCTCTTGGTGAAAATTCAATTAAAAGGCCCTCTGACTTTCACAAGCATATCTCCAGTCTACGGCACTACCTATATTGCCAACGTGTAGACACGATTATACATACATCTATTATATATATTATATATATATATATATATATATATATATATATATATATATATATATATATCCTCCGAGTACAATCAAAGAAAAGATAATCCATCATTCCTCCTTCTTCCCACTATACCTATATCCCCGGAAGATACCCTACATTGAACTAATAACCAATTTAGAAGACAAGAAAAAAATCCTTAATTCAAAGTGTGAGACACCGTGCTGAAGGATGTACGACCACACGACAACTGGTCTAAAATAGTTCCCTCCGGATACCAGCGACCTCCGGTTGTAAGAAGCCTTACTTTCTCAAGCAAGGCTCTAAGCGAGTGGATATCTATTCAGTAGCTACTCGTGGTAGCAGTATGGAACCAAATTTTAAAATAGAAAAAATAGAAAAATAGATGTTCAGGTGGCAAGTAAAAGTATCCCCCGAACTCCAAAGTAAGAGAAGAACATATTCTGAAATGCCTTCAAGGTAAACTTGAGCAAGAAAGGAGGAGACC